CTTGTCACTGGTAAGTTCCGATGAGCGGCACAGCTTGATTCCGTGTCGGATGACATCGCCAGCTTGCTTTTCGAGCATCAAAAGATCGAGGCACGTCAGCTGTATTTACACCCTGGCCCCCGTGACGGGGTGTAGCGAATCTCACGACTTCATTGGCAAAGGATTTTTGTGAAGTCATCGGATACCCACCATAGACGACAGAGCAGCTCCTTGTATCGCTTTCTGTTCTGACTCGTCATTTTTTGCTTAATTAAAATTATTGACGAGTGCCTGGGAAATGTGAACCACCCTAGCTTTTTCAGGACTGTCAATGCTATTAAACAGCATTTCTTAGTACGATTGAAAATGGACCGGAGTTCCCCTTTAAGCTCATCTAAGCTTTGTTGGAGTTGCTTGTTTTCAGATATAACTTTTTGGTATTCTGGATTCGGTGTTATGGAAGCCGTGGTAGAAACCTCCTCTGCCCAGCTCCCCTTGTTATCAAAAGGATTTTCTTTGCTCGTTGGGATTGCAGATCTTGGCATGGGCCACGTGTGCGTGGATTAGAACTTGGGTGGGAGTTGACCTGACCTGAAGAGTCCTTATCTTGACCTCGGTGTAGTGATCTCACTGATTGTCCTTGTGGTGATGCAGCCCGTAAATCTTGCTCTTGCCTTAACGGTGGCCATGCATTGTCATCCGTGTCTTCCATGTCGTACCAAAGCGGCCTTGGTGGAGATTCTTTGCTGGGAGCTTTGGCTAGCTCCAGTCATTTCTTAGCTGTTTTCTTGATTCGTTGCGACTGTTTGTAGCGCTTCTTGCAGTCCTTCGAGCCGCCAAGATGTTCTTCCACACAGGTGGAGCAGCTAGGCTTACATTCGTGCTCCGCCTTGGGCTTCTTGGCACCGCGACGGTTGCACACAGAGTACTGTGGTTGAGGGCAAACGTCCGTCCTGTGGCCTATACTGCATGCTGCAATGTATGCTTGACTTTGTAACACGACATTTCTCCCCCCATGTAGTACACATAGCGCGGTACTATTGGGCCACAGAAAGTAATGACAGCTGTTTTTGTTTCATTGAGCATTCGCGCTCAAAGGTTCTCAACGCCTTGCGTTCTGATGCCCAGGTTGGCTAGAAGTGTTTCTGGACCATGCAATACGCCCTTTTTTGTGTCTCCTCCTGTCGTGACGTAAGTGCTCACTGCATGTTATATTCAATTATTAATGAGCATCGTAAGTGGACATGGAGGAGCCCTAATGGCGAAAATAAGAACGAAATAGGCTTTATAATGACTGCACACCCAGGAATCGTGCAGGATGTGGAAGTGGTTGGCAAGGTACGATGCAGTGACCATAGAATGGTACAGTCTCGAATTCGCCTAGACTTGAAGAAGGAACGACAGAAACTGATACGCAAGAAGCCAATCAATGAGCTAGCACTGAGAGGGAAAGTACAGGAACTCAGAGTGTCGCTGCAGAACAGGTACTCGGCTCTTAGTGAGGAAACCAACCTTAGCGTAGATACAATGAATGATAATCTGACGAGTATCATTACGGAGTGTGCAGTGGAAGTTGGAGGCAGGGTAGTTAGACAGGACACTGGCAAGCTTTCCCAGAAAACGAAGAACCTAATTAGGAAGCATCAAATCATGAAAGTGTCAAGTACAACAGACAAAATAGAGCTGGCAGAGCTTTCGAAGTTGATTAATAGACGTAAAGTATGCGATGTAAGAAGGTATAACATGGAGAGAATTGAACACGCTCTGAAAAATGGAGGAAGCGTCAAAGCAGTGAAGAGGAAACTTGGGATAGGCAAAAGTCGGATGTATGCACTAAGGGACAAAGAAGGCAAAATAACTACCAATATGGATAGGATAGTTAAAATAGCGGAGGAGTTTTACAGAGATCTGTACAGTAGCCGAGACAACCACGACCTTAATACTATAAGAACTAGCAGTAACCCAGATGACACCCCACCAGTAATGATAGAAGAAGTCAGAAAAGCTTTGGAGAGCATGCAAAGAGGCAAAGCTGCTGGTGAGGATCAGGTAACATCAGATCTGCTGAAAGATGGAGGACAGATTGTGTTAGAAAAACTAGCCACCCTGTTTACGAGGTGTCTTCTGACGGGAAGGGTACCAGAGTCTTGGAAGAACGCTAACATCATCTTAATATATAAGAAAGGAGATGACAAGGACTTGAAGAATTACAGGCCGATCAGCTTGCTCTCTGTAGTATACAACCTACTTACAAAGGTAATTGCTAACAGAGTAAAGAAAACATTAGAATTCAATCAACCAAAGGAACAAGCAGGATTTCAAACAGGCTACTCAACAATTGACCACATTCATACTATCAATCAGGTAATAGAGAAATGCTCAGAGTATAACCAACCACTATACATAGCCTTCATAGATTACGAGAAGGCATTTGATTCAGTAGAAATATCAGCCGTCATGCAGACACTGCGGAATCAGGGCGTCGATGAAGTGTATATAAACATCCTGGAAGAAATCTATGGGGGACAAACTGCTACCATAGTGCTTCATAAAGAAAGCAACAGAATACCAATCAAGAAGGGTGTAAGGCAGGGGGACACAATCTCCCCAATGCTATTTACCGCGTGCTTACAGGAGGTTTTCAGAAGCCTAGAATGGGAACAGTTAGGGATAAGAGTTAATGGAGAGTACCTTAGTAACCTGCGCTTCACCGATGACATTGCATTGCTGAGTAACTCAGGGGACGAATTGCAACTCATGATTACGGAGTTAGACAAGGAGAGCAGAAAGGTGGGTCTTAAAATTAATCTGCAGAAAACGAAAGTAATGTACAACAACCTCGGAAAGGAGCAGCGCTTCGAGATAGGTAATAGTGCACTTGAAGTTGTAAAAGACTATGTCTACTTAGGGCAGGTAATAACCGCAGAGCCTAACCACGAGATTGAAGTAACTAGAAGAATAAGAATGAGGTGGAGCACATTCGGCAAGCACTCTCAAATTATGACAGGTAGATTGCCACTATCCCTCAAGAGGAAGGTATATAACAGCTGTATCTTGCCCGTACATAGCTATGGAGCAGAAACCTGGAGACTTATAAAGAGGGTTCAGCTTAAATTGAGGACGACGCAGCGAGCAATGGAAAGAAAAATGGTAGGTGTAACCTTAAGAGACAAAAAGAGAGCAGAGTGGATTAGGGGACAAACGGGAGTTAAGGATATCATAGTTGAAATAAAGAAGAGGAAATGGACATGGGCCGAGCATGTAGCGCGTAGACAGGATAACCGCTGGTCATTAAGGGTAACTAACTGGATTCCCAGAGAAGGGAAGCGGGTTAGGGGGAGACAAAAGTTAGGTGGGCAGATGAGATTAAGAAGTTTGCAGGTATAAAGTGGCAGCAGCAAGCACAGGACCGGGTTAACTGGCGGAACATGGGAGAGGCCTTTGTCCTGCAGTGGACGTAGTCAGGCTGATGATGATGATGACCCTTATACACAACACCATTGCCCTTCACCAAGTTCCTCAGTGATGGGGACAGCAAAGCTTACACCACTGTCGCTGAGGCCAAGGTATATGGTGAAGTTGTCATGGAAAGGGAGGAGTGCACAAAACATGTGGCCAAGCGTCTAGGCACTGCTCTTCGGAAACTGACAACACGACTTCCACAAGGAGAAAAGCTGACAGATGGCACAATTCATAGAACTATTACCATATTGCAATCACAAACAACAGAGGTGATACTCTGAAAATGCATCGTGCCATCTGGACCTCGTATTTCCACTCATCCTCGAGCAACACTGCAGGCAGCCACCAATACTGTCCAGAAGGGGTGACTTCCTGGTGCAAGCATAGGTAAGCCTTGGGGAGGCCCCACCCGACCACACGTCAATTTCGACCAAGGCTCAAGGATTGGCTGTGCTTCCCATTTACAAGCAACTCACAGATTAAAAGTAGCTGGTACGCTGTATTCAATGAAAGACACAAAATGCTGCAGAATCTTTGAACAGCAAAATCTGGTTGTTGTGCCCGAAGACGAAGTTTGCCTCCCGGACAACAGTGGAAACTGCAGCTGCTATGGCTGTGCTGTGGTTAAAAAAAAGACATTCAAGCTTTGAACACGTGCTACAAGAGCTTGGTGTAGTGCCACCAGATCAACTGATCAGCCTGGGCCAATACTGCGACTAGAGGAGAAACAAAAGAATGTCTGTGTGTGGAACAGCCGAGGCAAGGGCTCACCGTGGCAACGTGGCGAAGAAAGCACGCCTCGATGACTCCCTTCTCAAGCGGCGAGAAAGTAGTACATATAGAGCAGGGCAATTTTGAGTGCTCTAGCTGTATCCCTTCTATGCTCTCACAAAGTCTTGTGCAAATTGCACTGTGTAATCATGAGTAAACATATTCATAACTTTAAAATGCATTTTTCTCAATTTTGATTTTGAGGTGATTTTTCTCATCTTGTGCACAAACTTTTTTACACATAAAATAGTCCTATCTTGATCAAATTTAGCACAGAGCTTAATCAGCCACTCTAGAATACAAGTGTTTACATCAGGTTGCAATATACACCACAGATGTTTTGTTTCACAACTATGCTGATAGAGAGATGTAAAGTGTGCATTTAGTACTCTTGAATTTTTTTTTTTTTCAGACATAGCAACTTAAGTCCCAACTTGAGGCACTTTTCTGTATTCTACTGCTCAAGTGCAGCAGAATGAGCTATTTTGCGATTCTGTGTGAAAATTTTTAGTAAGCCTTAATGTGTGTATAGAAAACCCTATATTTTGATATCAATGTTGTAGTAACTCTGCAACGAGAACAGCTATCAGAAAAATAATTGTAGTTATGAAATCAGCACTGCAAGCTTTACTAACACCTAAAATTTCAAATAGCTGAGTGAAGAAATGAAAAAAGAAACATTTTTTGAGTAGCATCTCCCCTTAAAACCTCTGTGAGACCATCAGTGCTGCTGTAGAAGAACCTGCAAAAAAGCGTAAGTCTTGGAATTGCACGATGCTGTAACTTACCCGCTTCGATGCCTGCGCTCCCGGTCTCTGCTACGGCTGCGCCTCCTTTCACGCTCTCGGTCCCGTTCACCACCAACGCCACCACCCCGTGGCTCACCACCACGTATCATTCGATCCTCGCGATCGCGACCATCCCGATCCCTGCATATTATATCCAAACACATAAAGCTCCTCCAGATGCCAGCCGTAAGGAACATGAAAATAAGCCACCATTCATCCCAAGTCATGACAAACTTCACAGAGAGATGGACAGACATTTAAAAATTCTGCACGAAAGGGATTGAAAAATGCAGTTGAACGCACCTACAACAATACCAGTTCAGAGAGTACTACCTATACATAGACTTCAGAAGGAGGCTATCATTCTTACAGCCGCAGCGGCATCTAGCGTCTGTGATGTTTCACCACCATGTCTGTGAGTAGGGTTCTGCGGCAGGGTATGCAGCTTATATGTTCACTTCAAAAGTATTGCTCTTTTTTGAAAACATGCGCAAAGTACAGCAACGATAATTTGCAAGTCTGAAGGCGCCATTAAGCAGTCAATCGCTAAGCCGTCAGCTTCAAAATGGCTGATACAGAAAGCAGCAGCCGCCCACGAGACGTTTTCGCAGTGGTGCCGACGATAGACATAAGAGGTGAGCAGTACTTCAATGTATTTCTTACGCAGCTCGCATAAATGAATCAATGGTAAGTATGTTTTGTTACAGCTGGCCTTGTGAGGTGTTGAAAGTATGCACTTTTCGGACAATTCTTCAAATAATAGGTCAGTCAGTTTCAGTCAGTTTCAGTTTATTTACATTTACGTTTCACAAAGTGAAACGTAAATGGAGACGAGCGATCAAATATGTACCTCATTGGCTAACTGCACGTAAAGTGCGCGTAATAATGTTCAAAAATGACTCGCGGGGTTCTTTGTCATGATTCTGTGTCTTCAAACAGATTATCTGGTTCCATTTGGCACGTGGCAGCAGACCTGCGATATTAGCAGCGTCATCTAGCAGGTGCAGTCTCAATCAACGGCGCCATCCTGGTTATGTTAGCTGGAGCAGACGGCCTCGTGCACGGACTCAGAGCACATATTTTTGCCTACTCAGTTGCGAATGCAGCAACAAAACACATCATTCCTTTTTTTTTATGGTGACCAAAATGACGTATGGCTTTTTGCTTTTTGCATGGTGGAAGAAAAAAGGAGAGTCTATTTGATAAATGCGAAAAATCTTTCGTTGATGTTCAGGTCGAATTTGAGAAGGATTTAGCTTATACAAAAGTTGTTCAGTGATATCACTGGATAGGCGAAATTTCTTTTTATACTTGATAAATATGTGCTGTATAGCACTGCAGCTTGCGCCAAAGCATGTTTGTGCACATATATGCGCTTTATCACAGAACAAGAATGCAATTGGTACAACAAAGTCAAGTTTTTTTATTTTTTTTTCTACTTCAATCGCGTGTGGTACAAATTATTGTTAGGATTTGTAACCCCCGGTAAGCTCTATTTAGCTGCCCTTTAGTGTGAAATACGGGGTGCCTCCCCACAAAGCTCTCTAATGGACAAATTTGATGTCATTTATTGGCTTTAACAAGGTAGGAAAAAAAGCCCTGCCAAATACTAGGGTACCTGATGTTACACCTGATTATACTCCTGCATGAATCAAATGAGTAAAATCAATAACACAACAATGTTAAACTCAGAAGTGCTCGTGTATAGGCTTCATCTGCGTCATGTTTGTCCGCCATCATTGTGAAGTTAGCCGCACTGCCTATGCCATTTATGAAGCTGCTCCAGTGCTCTTGCATTACGTCGACGATAACTCGTAACATGGTAGTGCTATCTTTGCACGAAAACCTAGCATTCTGGTCCTCCATGTGAAAACACCTCTAGGCAATGGGTCCCACCTCATTTAGCGGTCTATGAAACCGAAACTTCGACTGAGTGCAATGAAACAGTCTCCAAATTGTTTTCGTGCAACAACACAACGAGCAAACAATCTTTGCAGCCATAATAAATGGGTCGTTAGCTACCAGTTGCAAAAAACATTTTTTGCGTCGGTGGGCTTTTTCACTCGGTTTCCGTCCCAGTTAATGAAGCAATGAGCGTCCAAGAAGAGGAGTTGTTGATGGCGTGCACCTGTCGTATCCCTTCTTACAATGCTTCAGGTGGGAGTAGAGTTGGGGGGCTAGGACGAAAGGCACGACTAGAAGTGGGGATGGCGATAAAAGAAAAGGTTGCCGCTAAGCCTTTAGCAACACTCCTATGCACAAGGGATCCTCTCCTTTCAGCTTGCTGTCTCATAACCCTAATCTAAGCTTTCTTTCGTGCTCGCCAGCTGTGGGTGAGGAGTTTGGCGAACCCCAACCAGAATCTCAAATCAGTTATGACAAGCTTCCCCTGAAAAGCAACCACATGATCATTCATGGTCATTCCATTAGGAAAAATATTCCAGATCCCCATCCTCAGGCAAGAATAAAGAAATCTGGACAACAAAAAAATGTGCCAAGATCCTGCTGGGAACACAGCACAACTAAACAATAAACGTTATATGCATTGACCAACAAGTACCAATTTGTATCTCATTACGTGCGCCATCGCCGCCAAAAAAAAGGAATAAACAGAGTACCGCAGCAAATAGTCCCTCTGGTACGACAGTGTGATGACACGTCGTCGCAACAAGGAGCATTTCGAAACGAACTACATACAAAGTAGAAGTAGCGACTGAAGTAGTAACGAAATGGGCATTATCGGCTGTCCACGATAAATGTGTACCATGACGTGCTACATGACGACAGCTGACATCTTTCTTCAGTTTTTTTTGGTGAGGTACATTTGCAAGAAGCCAATCGTCTACTGGCTACTTACATCCAGCACTTCACTTACTCAACGTACACGTCATGCAAAGCCTCTTGTACCCACTCGGCTTCACACCACGCACAAACATACGGAAAAGACTCGTGTTAATGTGACAATGGCGAGCTTTCTGCAAACGATGTTCTAGCGACCTTGGCAGTGAATGGAGACGTGTCTGAGCTGTTGCCTAATGAAAGTGTGCAGACTATTGTGTTTAATGCAACGATGGCGAGCTTTTTGCAAACGATGCTCTAGCAGCCCTGGCAGCGGATGGAGGTGCGTTTGGAGGGAGCTCGCTCTGTCATATGCGTGCTAACTGCATGTATACAGTACAGCAAGCGTGATAGATCAGCGTTATATATCAACACAGTGATGTTTTTTGATTCCCGCAATCTACAATGCTCAACTTCGCAACAGCGAGCTGCTTACATTTCTGCAAAGCTGCGCACGCTGAACATGGTCTCGCACAACGAGGCGACAGCGATAGGCAGCCAAGTGAGCTATGGTAGTCGCTAGCTATTAAATGCATGCAGTAGGTTTAAGGCGGTAGGCTACCATCTGAAACCAACTGTTTTGTTTATTGAGATATCTCGATGTAATCTTCAGGATATACTAATAGCAAAAGCATTAGAAATACTACAAAATTTCATGAAGTTATGTGCACTGGTTCTCCAGTTACGGCAGTATGTCAGATCAGTGCACATGGTTCTCTTATTCCAGGTCTGGAGAACTTTCAAAAGATGGTGGAATTGTGAAATTAACGATGATTCCCAGATTGATACCTCAAATTAAAAAAAAAAGAGAGCTCTGTTACCCAACAGAGCTCTTTTTTTTTTTAAATTTTTTACTGAAAAGCTTTAGCAGACTGTCAAATTTACTGTTGATTAGCATATTACCGAATTTTTATTAGGTATCATAAGTAACAGACAAAATATATTGGAAATAGAAAAAATGAGCTTGTCTCCCCCCTTAGAAATTTAGTCACGTACATAATAAAAAAATACTTATGGAAATAAGATGAATGATTCAACAGACAAGGCTAGAACAAGCAGTCTCACTAGCCAAAGAAGCTATTTTGAGAAAATGACATTTGAAAGTTTTGGGCACATATGCAAATCTAAAACGACCCTGCAACCTAACTGGAGGTGTTCTTCGGCACTCTCTTTCTTCGCCGCCTTTCCATCTTCTCCAAGGATTTCTTCTTAGCCTTTTTCAAGCGCAGCGAAACTTTTTCGGCTGCCCGTTGAATGGCCAGGTGTTAGCCCGACTGATGAAGCTAGCACTCGAAATTTGGGCTTGTTGGTGCATTGTGACGACAGAAAATAGCGCAAAGAAACGGGGACACAAGACGAGGACACCTAAGCCGTGTGTCCTCGTCTTGTGTCCCCGTTTCTTTGCGCTATTTTCTGTCGTGATGAAGCTAGCTCTAAGTGGCCCTGTAGAAGCCCTCGTTGTAACACAGAATTGTTTCACGCAATGCTGTCTCCACAGCATTCAGTGTGCTCCTTAAGCATCAGGGACCATAGCACCAAGTGAAAGGCCTCTGATTAATTCCGCGTCTTAGCTCCCAGGCAGCACCGCAGAAGAGAAACCTGCGAGAGCCATTCATAAGAAGTGCATCCTCAACATAGCTTGGCAGATTGTACGGATGCTTCGGAGGTTGAACACCTGTTAATCTTGCTGGCATTGTGACAACACCAATAGTCTGCAACCTTTGGGCACAAATCGTGGTGGGGCTCCTCGACCGTCAACGTCACATGGGGATACGACGCCATCACTGCCCGCTGCATTGTAGCCGCATCATCGGAATCTTTCCGTAAGGCCCAGCCATAATAGCAAGTCATAATAGAGGAACGGGGTGTACTTCCATGTATCCTATCTTTTTCTATGCGAGTTCACGGGTTGATCACTTTACCGCAGCCATCTTGGTTTGCACAGCGTGCCACCTATAGCCTGTGGGAATTTCAAATGTGAACGGCTGCAACAATAGACGATAGCGAGCAGAACACAAAGAAAATGCCAAGAACAGAAGAGTAGCAGATGACAGAAAGCTGCATTATGTGCAGGAGTACTATATCATCATGGGTAGCAGTCGCAGGGTCCCTATCGTCCTTGAGGAATGGTTCGAACGCATTGCCCAATCTCAGTAGCTCATCTGTGCCACGGAAAACTTCAAAGCTCTCACGAGCCCTCCAATTATGAGCAGCTTCCTCCTCTCCTGCACTGCCGCAGTTACTGCGGGTCGTGCAAAAAGAAAGTGCAAGAATTCACAAACAAAACAACACCAAAATGGCAA